GTTTCTTTCTTCTATGATATTTTTTCAGAATTATGTAATAAACGGGCTACGTAACATATAGACACGATAAATACACCTGAGAGTAGAATAAATTAACATAAATACGAGATACTTTTCCAGTCGTCTTGTAGCAGTGTCGGAAAGAATAACGTTTTCTATAGTTCAACACGAAAGAAAATGCATACACAATATTACTGGGGGTAACTGTAGAAAATTTCTTTCTTTCATATGCCTTCACTCAGAGTGGCATTCCTTTTAAAAATAGTGTGTTCCATGATAATGAGTCTTGCTCTTTATTTATTGTACTGTACCGACATGAAGATAACTTGTACACAGTGTAAGGTGTTTGTATTATGGTATAAGCTTTAGCCCTGTGGCCTGGTGGTGGCTAAACCTCATGCTTCACACTGTGAGTGTCTGGGTTCAAAGGGTAAAAACATTGAGCGTGTTTCCTTACACCAGTTGTCTATGTTCATCAATCAGTAAAATGGGTACCTGGGTGTTAGTCGACTGGTGTGGGTCACATCCTGGGACAAAACTGACCTAATCTGCCCGAAATGCTCTGCCTAACAAGTGGCTTTCTATATATCAGTATGTCATTGAGGTCAGCTAGGCCTGCATATCATGTACATGTACTTGTAGAAAGAAAGATATTACAGTGGAACTTCACCAGTCGTCATTAATTCGTTCCAGAAAGTCTGATGAAACCCAAATTCGATGAAAACGAAGCAATATTTCCCATAAGAAATAATGTAAATCCAATTAATCCATTCCAGACACCCAAAAGTATTAACAAAAAATACATTTTATAAAGAATAACTTTAGTTTTACATACAGAAAACAATGAGAAATAAATATAAAGGACTAATGGATAAATAAACATTTAACAACACTTTTACCTTTATTGAAGACTCTTTTTGGCGTATGGAAGTCGGCGAGGGGGGGAAAGGGAGGAGAGATTATCTCTACCACCATCACTATCACCCTCTACCACCATCACTACCACCCTCTACCACCATCACTACCACCCTCTACTGACGAGAAGCAAAGCCAGACTGACTCAGAATTAGTGGGATGCTTTGTTTGAGTACAGAGGGACATGTTCAGTACAAGTGATGAACAAAAACTGGGACAAAATTTTGATGAAAAAAGTCGTCAAAATTCGACATAAGCCAGGGCAAACGAAAATTAAAGTTCCACTGTATTATTATGATTATTATTATTAATCAGACATGTTCATCTGCTTGTTTACATTCTCTGCATCTCTGCCTTCTCTCATTTACTTATTCTCTCTCTCATTTATTTGTTTTATCTCATTTACTCACCTCTCACCCTACATTAAAACTACAGATATTTTAACGCTTTCACTGTTGGTGCCGTATAGTATGGCTTACAAGCCAGTGTTGGTGACGTATTAGTATGCCAAAATTCTAGCGGTTTCAAATCTAAAGGGATAAAGCTGGTAGACCTACATGTGAGAGAATGGGTCTGTATGGTCAGTGTGCGTAGTATAAAAAAAAATCTGGGAGCCAGTGGTGCACTGTGGGAGTCCCATTTCAGTAGGCCTTGTTTACCATGCTTTGTGATAAAACTGGGACCCTTCTCTTCTCAAGTCATAGTTCTAACACAGATGAAAGTGCCAGTGAAGACGAATTTCATGGTTTTGCAGAGTTTGTGACTGAAAGCAATGCCCAAGATACCAGAAATAGTGCTGAAAACCCAGACAACCATCAACCTAGAATAACCCAAAAAGCCAAAGTGACTTATTTCCATATGGGTAATGGGGAAGATAGCATTTTTGTTGGGGAAGACGGTGTGGGTAATGGGTGGTGGTGGTTGTGTAATGTGTCATGTGACACCAACCATGCTGCTCTCAGCACATCCACAACAAAGGCTACCTTCAACCACCCACACACAACAACAACTTTCCACAAGCTGTAGAAGTTCTAGGAATGTGTCCAGTTGACTCTGTATATATATTAAAGAACAATAGTAATAAACAACTTTTTTATTGTTGGTTTGTGCAAACAGGTTTTGTAAACAATATAATAACAATATTTGTGCAGTTATTGTGTTGCATACAATGAGTGGATATATACAGCCTCTCCTCACTTAATGACAGAGTTCTGTTCCTGAGACCACGTCGTTAAACGAATTCATCACTAAGTGAGGAACATACTATAATGGTAGTGTGTTTGTGTCAACCATCTTTGAAATTATTTTAATGTCACCTTTGCACCATTTATAACATTTCTGGTATATTTTTAAATGTTTATACAGTAGTGTACTGTACATTGAAATGTACAGAATAGAGGAAATCAGCTCTAATATACATTATTTAGGTATGAATACTGGTCAGAGAGCCCGTCGTAAGTCTGAGGCGTCATTAAATGAGTACAACGCTAAGTGAGGAGAGGCTATATATATTATGCATCATGTTGGTCTCACAGGCCACAAAAGTTACTTGAAAAAATAAAATACTAAAAATATTAAAGAAAAAATGGAATAAAGGTAAAAATAATATTACCGAGTGAGTGGCAGTCGCTGATGTTGCCATCAGTGGTTCACTTTCTGTCTACTTCATGCCGCTATATCTCAGTAAGAACTGAGTGCAAATTTTTTTTTTAAACACTCAGAAAAATATTCTTAAGATTTTGGTAAGAAAAAAGAATTTTTTTTGAACACTTTTTAACACTGAGAGCAGGTCTGTGTTCAGAGGTCTCAACAGAGAAAGGGTTAAGGTAAGTAATGAGTGTACTCTATTTGCATTTTATCACTCTAGGGTCCATTAAATGTATATTATGTGTAGGTGGGGTGGCCATACTACCACACTTGACCTCTTACAATAAATATTACTCACCTCTCACCCTTCATTAAGACTACAAATACTTTAAGGTAAGTAATGAGTGTACTGTGTGTGTATTTAACTTTTCATTGTTTTTTAATGCCTAGTTCAATTACTAACTTAATATAAACCATACCACAGGCGGGGATAGAACCCGCGATCCGAGAGTCTCAAAACTCCAGACTGTCGTGTTAGCCACTGGGCCAGCTAGCCACAATAAGATTCATCCAACTGGTATATTTCTACACCATAGGAAGGTTAGCATAGGCACCATTGTGACCACAGATGCAAGTTTTTACAGACGAATCTCCAGCCAGTGGTGCCTATGCTAACCTTCTTATGGTGTAGAAATATACCTAGTTGGATGAATCTTATTGTGGCTAGCTGGCCCAGTGGCTAACGCGATGGTCTGAGGTTTTGAGACTCTCTGATCGCGGGTTCTATCCCCGTCCGTGGTATGGTTTGTTTGCAATCGTGTCATTACGATTTCCTGAGTCACTAACTAAATATATATGTTAGTGTAAACTTGCTATCCGGCATTTATATCATTTATAAATGGAACAAAAATGACGTTCTGCTTTCCGGCAATGTCTGCTTTTTAGCAGTAGCCTGGAACCTAACCTGCCATATTAGTGGAGCCCTACTGGTTTAAGTATGAGAAACAATTATATAAATGAACATTTGACAATTAGAACAGTTCTGCAACATTCACCACAAACATTTATCACAACATTTATGAAGATGTTATTATGAAGGACCAAGCTACTTCACTACATTGCAAAGTCATCAACATCAGGGTTTTCTAGGTTACTAACCCTCCAGTCATACTTTATTGAGTTTTCTAGGTTACTGACCCTCCAAGTATACTTCATTGGGCTTTCTAGGTTACTAGCCCTCCAGGTATCCTTTATTGGGTTTTCTAGGTTACTAACCCTCCAGGTATACTTTATTGGGTTTTCTAGGTTACTAACCCTCCAGGTATACTTTATTGGGTTTTCTAGGTTACTAACCCTCCAGGTATACTTTATTGGGTTTTCTAGGCTACTAAACCTCCAGGTATACTTTATTGGGTTTTCTAGGCTACTAAACCTCCAGGTATACTTTATTGGGTTTTCTAGGTTACTAACCCTCCAGGTATACTTTATTGGGTTTTCTAAGTTACTAACCCTCCAGGTATACTTTATTGGGTTTTCTAGGTTACTAACCCTCCAGGTATACTTTATTGGGTTTTCTAGGTTACTAACCCTCCAGGTATACTTTACTGGGTTTTCTAGGTTACTAACCCTCCAGGTATACTTTACTGGGTTTTCTAGGTTACTAACCCTCCAGGTATACTTTACTGGGTTTTCTAGGTTACTAACCCTCCAGGTATACTTTATTGGGTTTTCTAGGTTACTAACCCTCCAGGTATACTTTACTGGGTTTTCTAGGTTACTAACCCTCCAGGTATACTTTAATGGGTTTTCTAGGTTACTAACCCTCCAGGTATACTTTATTGGGTTTTCTAGGTTACTAACCCTCTAGGTATACTTTACTGGGTTTTCTAGGTTACCAAGCCTCCAGGTTAATAATTCCAACAAAATATTATTCTTCATATGGTAAGTTAGTGAGGTCAGTGATGAGTTATCACGCAACATAAACAACAGTATATGATCATTTATGCTATGTTGGTCGATATTTTAACTAAAGTTACATATGGAAGAACTCTACTCCAAAAGGTTATGTTAGAATGTTAGTAGATATTTTAACTAATGTTATATATGGAAGAACTCTTCTCTAGTAGATTATATTAGAATGTTGACAGATACTTTAACTAAAGTTATATATGGAAGATTCTCTCACCAATCAAAACTTTTGTTATTATAACATTCATGGTAGAGCACTAAACCTGTATGGATCAAACAATAATATTACAAGAAAATAAATCACTTTGAATTTTTTTGTTATCTTGGGTAATTTACAATGTTACTATGTATGATAATTGTAATTAACTGAACTTGTGTCACTGAACTTAAGTTTAACTGAACATCAATAAACTTACTCAAGTTAAAGAGGTCTTGGTAATATAGTGATCAGTTGCATCAATATTATCATTATTTCCGCTAATTTATCACATTGTGGCAATAAATAACAATATGAGTGAATGCTTACTTACCTCACAAATAAATGTTACAGTGGTAGTTACTCCAGAGCTTCAAATATTGACAATAACTAAGAAAATCTTTCTTCTTATTCTTTATTTGTTGGGTTTATGAGGGCCACTGACAGCATAAGCCGCATCGAGCCCGACTTCTCGATGGTACGAGGAAAAATTGTTGCCCAAGGCTGGACGATGAGAGAAAAGGAACAAAAGTTCTTTTATAAATAGAGATAGAAACATGAAGTTTCCAATTAGATCCGGTGGACATCCTTGCCAAGCCCACAGCGGGACGCCCACACCCCCACCTGAGTACAGTAACCGGCTTCCCACCAAAGACCGTTAAAGAATTATCCGCAGAGCGGAAAAATTGAGCTGGCTGAAAGTAAGCCGACGAACAGGTGTCCCTCCTGTAGAGTGTCCGGCGGGTAAAATACATGAGGACAAGTGTCCCAGAGTGAACGGGGGAAATTTGTCATTGATACTCAGGCGAGAGAGAGAGAGGCATCCACACCCGACGAAGGCTGGTGCAGAAGTCCAAGAACCACTGTATTTCTTTGTACAGCTATGTATCATGTCCAAATTAATAATAAATAAGATAAAATACTTTTTATAAACTTGACTAGATGTTGTTGTTGTTAGAGTTGTTGAGGGCCACCACAACTGAGGCTTTATTGAGCACTAACATTCAGTAACACAAAATATTGACCAAACAAAAAAAAAATAATAATAATAATAATAATAAATTTTATTGCTAGGCAATAAGAAAGAAAACAAGTTGTCTCTGGAACATTAAATTGTCAACTTAGATGAGGTTGAGCCGAGGAGAACTGAACACTGGCAGAGTCAAGTGTCTTACTCCCTGAGCAAACACCTCTACCTTCCACCAACCTCTCACCTCAAGTTCACTCTTGTAAGTTTATTTAGCTACACTTATACATAAGTTCAATGTGTTGTACACTTGTTGGTGTTTGCCATAAGTAAATAAGTTTATTTAGGTACACTTACACATAAATACAGTTACACAAGTAAGTGTAATACTATAATAATAATAATATCTTTATTTCTAAAAGTCATTTATATGCTCGGTACTACTAAATGCCTCGAATGATATAGTTGAAGTTTTAGCAGTAAAGATCGAGAACCAAAATTTGGTTATTGTGGTAGTTTACAAGCCTCCGGATGCAACGTCCCAACAATTCCAGGAACAGCTTTTGAAAATTGACCACTGTTTGGAAAATTTTCCAGCTCCTGCCCCCAATATCTTGCTCCTGGGGGGTTTCAACCTAAGGCACCTAAAATGGACGAACATAGCAAATAATGTTGTTGCAGTGATAACACCAGGAGGCAGCTCAGATGAAAACTCGCACACACGAGCTTTTAAATCTCTGCACGAAATTCACCTTAAACCAACAAATAATAGAGCCTACATGATTAGAGAATACACTGGACCTCATCTTCCCTAACAATGATGACCTGATACGAAATGTCACCATATCAACAACAATATATTCAGATCACAACCTAATAAAGGTTCAGACATGTATGCGCTGGGCCCCAGACTGACAAAATATAATCAGTCACGAGGGAGCCTTCACCAAATTCAACTTCAATAACATGAACATAAAGTGAGACCAAGTAAATCAGGTCCTAAATGATATAAACTGGGAAGATGGTCTAAGCACCATAGATCCCAACCTATGTCTAGAACAGATTAACTCTGTAGTACTCGACGTATGCTCAAGGCATAATCCTTGAAGAAAAAGGAGATGTAAACTAAAAAGAGAAAGGCGCTCCTTATACAGGCGGAGGCAAAGAATAACAGAGCGACTAAAATGGGCCAATATATCTGCAATATGTAGGGAGACACTGGTCAGAGAAATAGCAAATATCGAATTAAAGGTAAAGGAATCTTACAGGAGTCAAGAAATGCAGAAATAATTGAAAGCCATAAGTGAAATAGAAAAAAAAAACAAAGTATTTCTTTTCTTATGCCAAATTCAAGTTGTGAACAACATCCAGTATTGGGCCCCTACTTAAACAAGATGGGTCTTACACAGATGACAGCAAGGAAATGAGTGAGCTACTCAAATCCCAATATGACTCAGTTTTTAGCGAGCCGTTAACCAGACTGAGAGTCAAGGACCAAAATGATTTTTTTATGACAGTGCCACGGAATTTGGTAGACACAAATCTATCTGACATTATCCTGACGTCAAATGACTTCGAAAAGAGGGTATATGACATGCCCATGCACTCTATCCCAGGCCAAGACACATGGAACTCTGTGTTCATCAAGAATTGCAGAAAGCCCCTGTCACGTGCCCTTAACATCCTATGGAGAGGGAGCATGTACACAGGGGTCGTCCCACAGCTTCTAAAAACAAGACATAGCCCCACTCCACAAAGGGGAAAATAAAGCAATAGCAAAGAACTATAGACCGATAGTGCTAACGTCTCATATCATAAAAATCTTTGAAAGGGTTCTAAGAAGCAAGATTGCTACCCATCTAGATACTCATCAGTTACACAACCAAGGGCAGCATGGGTTTGCAGCAGGTCGCTCCTGTCCGGACCACTGTGACAAGGTCCAAAGTGCTCTAGAAGACAAACGAAATGGAGATGTAATATACACAGACTTTGCAAAAGCCTTTGACAAGTGTGACCATGGTGTAATAGCACACAAAATATGTGATAAAAGAATAACAGGAAAAGTTAGTAGATGGATCTATAATTTCCTATCAAATAGAACACAAAGAGTAGTAGTAAACAGAGTCAAGTCTGAGGCGGCTACGGTGAAATGCTCTGTTCCTCAAGGCACAGTACTCGCTCCCATCTTGTTCCTCATCCTCATATCTGACATAGACAGAGATATTAGCCACAGCGCCTTGTCTTTTTTTTGCAAATGACACCCGAATTTGCATGACAGTCTCCTCCACTGAAGACACCGCAAGACTACAGGCGGACATCATCCAAATCTTTAAATGGGCTGCAGAAAACAATATGAAATTCAATGATGAGAAATTTAAATTACTCCGATATGGAAAACACGAGGAAATTAAAACTGCATCGGAGTATAAAACAAACTCCAACCACACAAAAGACCGATAAACTAATGTAAAAGACCTGAGAATGATCATGGTGGTAGATCTCACCTTCAAAGACCATAACATTGATACAATCACATTTGCTAGAAAAATGAGAGGATGGATAATGAGAACCTTCAAAAGTAGGGATGCCAAGCCCATGATGACACTCTTGAGGTCGCTTGTTCTCTCGAGGTTGGAATATTGCTGCACACTAACGGTACCTTTCAAGACAAGTGAAACTGCTGACCTAGAAAATGTACAGAGAAACTTCACAGCACACATAACTGCGATAAAACACCTCAGTTACTGGGAACGTTTGAAGTTCCTAAACCTGTACTCATTAGAACGCAGGCGGGACAGATACATGATTATATACACCTGGAAAATCCTAGAAGGATTAGTACCAAACTTGCAAACGAAAATCACTCCCTATGAAAGCAAGTCTCGGCAGACGATGCAACATCCCCCCAATGAAAAGCAGAGATGCCACTTGAACGATAAAAGAGAACACAATTAGCGTCAGGGCCCCAAGACTGTTCAACTGCCTCTCAGTATACATAAAGGGGATTACCAGTTCTGATTGTCTTCAAGCAGGCACTGGAGAAGCACCTAAAGTCAATACCTGACCAGCCAGGCTGTGGTTCGTACGTCGGTTTGCGTGCGGCCAACAGTAACAGCCTTGTTGATCAGGCCCTGATTCACCATGAGGCCTGGTCACAGACCGGGCTGCGGAGGCCTTGACCCCCGGAACCCTCTCCAGGTAAACTCCAGATACACAAGGTATACAGGCCTAGCTGACATCAATGACATACTACTATATAGAAAGTCGCTTATTATGCAAAGCATTTCGGGCAAATTAGGTCAGTTTTGCCCCAGGATGCGTCCCACACCAGTCGATTAACACCCAGGTACCCATTTTAAACTGATGGGTGAACAGGGACAGCAGGTGCCTTATGGAAACACATCCTAATGATTCCCAGCCGTACCGGAGATTCAAACTCCGGACCTCAGTGTGTGAGTTGAGTGCCTTAATAAAATTGGCAGTAAGATATTGGGGACACTGATTGTGAGCAATTTTATAAACGTAATTTAGCTTCAGTTGACTTATTTTCCCTTCAACATTCAGCATGTCCAGTTGTTGTAATTCATTCTGGCCTATATGTTCTCTTAAACCCAGGTCCAGAATGTATCTCACCATTTTGTTCTGGGTGATTTGTAGCCTTTCATTTTTTTTTTTGTTAAGGCAGAGTACCATGAAGAGCAGTAGTCTATAATACAGTGTATGAGACCTACACATAGGGTTCTGCGAGCTTCAGTTGGTAGACACTGTGCCTGTCTGTAGGGAAGCCACTTTCTTTACAACATTGTTCCCTATTAGTTTTCTTGACATGCTTGGGTCAAAGAGGATTCCCAGATATTTCACAGAATTTACTGTAATAATTGGTTCCCCATTACACTAGACATTAAAATTATTTACCCTTTTCAATTTATGTTTCGTGTCAAGGAGTATGGCTTCCGTTTTCCCGAGGTGTAGTGATAGTTTGCTGTATACCTGGAGAGAGTTCCGGGGGCCAATGCCCCCGCGGCCCGGTCTGTGACCAGCCCTCATGGTGGACCAGGGCCTGATGAACCAGACTGTTACTGCTAGCCGCATGCAGTCCAACGTACGACCCACAGCCCGGTTGGTCAGGTACTGACTTTAAATGCCTGTCCAGTGCCTGCTTGAAGACAGCCAGGGGTCTATTGGTAATCCCTCTTAAGTATGCTGGGAGGCGGTTGAACAGTCTTGGCTCACGAAATCGTAATGACACGATTGCAAACAAGCCATACCACAGGCGGGGATAGAACCAGCGATCAGATAATCTCAAAACTCCAGACCGTCGCGTTAGCCACTGGGCCAACTAGCCACAATAAGATTCGTCCAACTAGGTATATTTATACACCATAGGAAGGTTACCATAGGCACCACTGTGACCACAAATGCAAGCTTTTACAGACGAATCTCCCGCTAGCATGGCCGTGACGAACTCTAGCTCAAGTCCCCCCAAAGCCGTCAACATGACTCACGAAATCGTAATGACATGATTGCAAACAAACCATACCAAGGGTGAGAATAGAACCCGCTATCAGAGAATCTCAAAACTCCAGACCGTCGCGTTTGCCACTTGGCCAGCTACCCACAATAAAATTCATCTGGAGTTTACCTGGAGAGAGTTCCGGGAGTCAACGCCCCCGCGGCCCGGTCTGTGACCAGGCCTCCTGGTGGATCAGAGCCTGATCAACCAGGCTGTTACTGTTGGCTGCACGCAAACCAACGTACGAGCCACAGCCCGGCTGGTCAGGAACCGACTTTAGATGCTTGTCCAGTGCCAGCTTGAAGACTGCCAGGGGTCTGTTGGTAATCCCCCTTATGTATGCTGGGAGGCAGTTGAACAGTCTCGGGCTCCTGACACTTATTGTATGGTCTCTTAACGTGCTAGTGACACCCCTGCTTTTCATTGGGGGAACGTTGCATAGTCTGCCAAGTCTTTTGCTTACGTAGGGAGTGATTTTCATGTG